ACTGAAAACTCTACTTGCGATCTGAAAAGTCTTGTTATGCTCTTTTTGGTTCAGGCAGTACTGCTACCTGTAAAAAAATTCTCCAAGCTAAATTTTTATTATACCGATCTAATTTCATACTGTCTGCCCAAATTGCATCATATCCCTTGAGTTCCGTACTATTTCTTAGGTGTAACACACAGCAGCATTTTCTCTTTATTTGGAACTTATTTAACAATTGATGCATTAGTCAGAATAAAAGCCAGTTCGCTATCAAAGCTGGGTGGGCTCTGCAGTACTAAACAGAGTTAAATAGTTAAAATTTTTACTCTAATCATTAAAGTCAGCAGATCTATAAAAATACATTTTAAATCATCATTTTTCAGAGTTGAGCTGCATTTTAAGGCAGCTGCAGGATCATAGTAAAGGTTTACATAACTATAGGGAGCAGAGTACCTATTCAGATACTACAGTAATGGATATGGTATAACAATCTATTCTTGTTTTAGTTATTACAAGGAAACCTTATTTTATGGTGTTGCAAGGGACAGTGATCCATTTCTTTTAAGATGGTCAAGGAGCCAGTTCTTGGAAAGCAAGAACCAAATTAAATTAATAGGTTGCATGTTTAAAACAAACAAAAGGAAGTATTTCTTCACACAACGCACATTCAACCTGTGGAACTCTTTGCCAGATGTTGTAATGGCCAAGACTATAACAGAGTTCAAATAAGAACTAGATAAATTAATGGAGGATAGGTCCGTCAATGGCTATTAACCAGGATGGGCAGGGATGGTATCCCTAATCTCTGTTTGCCAGAAGCTGGCAATGGGATAAATCACTTAATGATTACCTGTTCTGTTAATTCCTTCTGAAGCAGCTGGCATTGGCTGCGGTCGGAAGACAGGATATTGGGGTAGATGGACCTTGGGTCTGACCCAGTATGGCCATTCTTACGTAAGATAGCTGAACTGGTGCTTAAATGCAATCTGTGAACTCTGTTTGTCCCTAGATCTAACTACATGATTATATTTGTGTTCTAAATTCTAACTGGACATGTAATGGAGAGTGTGTTCTGGTAAGCAGCCAGGCTGAGTTGAAATCACAGGGCTTTATTATGTGAAAGTTTTAATCCACACCTGCTTGTGTCCCAACAAAGTCTTGCTACACTGCATCATAATAGATGGGGCTATAATTTAGGCAGTGCATCTTAACAATTCTCTTCTATCTGAAGAGTTACTTTTCCTGTTTATGGAAGACAGTATTCAGACACAGGAAAATAAGTGTATTCTCATTGTGTAAGCACTACTTGCCACATAACTTGATGTAAATCCACCTTCCAAGAGCGGTCTGTCGTGGGTTCAAGCTTTAAGTGGACATTTCTTCAAACTTGTAGTTTTGGCATGACTGGAATTTTACTTGCATGGACAGCATATGGAACATAACGTGCATCATCGGGCTGCTTCTGCTATATGCTCTGTACTGCTCTATGTACATGAGCACCGTTTTCCATATCTGCCCTGGATCTTTTCCTTCCACACAGGTGAGAAGGTGATGGCTCAGCTTCAGTAGTAAGAGGCTTAGACCTAGAGGGACTTGTTTTACTAGAAGGTAGGACCTAGCAGGGCTGCTAGCTCTTTGAGCATACCTAGAGGCTGAGTGGAATTCAGAGCTGTCAGCATGTTCGGGCTTGGTGGGCTGCTTGTATAAAGTGGCCCTTAATCAAGAGGACTGTACAGGTTTCTGGACCCAGCATAAGTGATGATTGTAACAGGCATATAAAAACCACGAGGTCTCTACTTATTGGGAGAAAGAGATTATCTTGGTCAAATGATTTCCCAGCTCTTTCTACTATTCTGAAGTTCTTAAGAGTAGAATATTAATAATAATCTATGACTATACCTATAGCATATTGGGAACGTGAACTATTGACTTAACTATTAAATAATTATTTCTTAAGAGTTGTCATAGATGTGGACGTCGCTAATTGCAGACAGGATGTTTCTGTGGGCATGCCCATTTTCCTGTCCTTCAGCACAGAAAGGTTCACAGAGCCTGAGTTTAGCAGCAGCGTGTAAACAGGTTAAATTGTTTTCCTCCCTAATACATATCTGAAAATTGAAAGAAAAAATGCATGTAGGCTCTCCTGGTGGAGTGAGTGAGAGACTAGAGCAGGGGTTCTCAAACTTGGGGTTGGGACCCCTCAGGGGGTTGTGAGGTTATTAAATGAGGGGTCTCAAACTGTCAGCCTCCACCCCAAACCCCACTTCACCTCCAGCATTTATAATGGTGTTAAATATATAAAAAAGTGTTTTTAATGTATAAGGGGGGTCACACTCAGAGGCTTGCTATGTGAAAGTGGTCACTAGTACAAAAGTTTGAGAACCACTGCACTAAAGTGTGCAATATCATCTCCCCTAATGAGGGCTGCATCTCAACAAGTGTTTTATGAAAGACCATGTGCCTGTATTGCAGGTTGCTTGCTAAGGGGATGTGTCCACCTCAAATGCCTCTACTATATAGATAATCTGTGTGCAGAAGAGAAGCTGTTTGCCTTGAGTGACTCATGTCATCTGATGGATGAACAAAAGGTCTTCAATATCTAGATCCCTCGTTGCCAGTATACAAACTCTGATGAGCTAAATTTCCTAAGTGCTTTAGTGTTCAGTATTTTTTTTTTTTAACTTTCAGTTCCAGTTGTGACAGTTTTCCCATCAAACATTGTGGTTTGGAATAAAAGGATTATGATGCCATTGCGTGTGATTTGAGATGTTGAACTGACTTCAATGATAGGTTCATCCTTCAGATTGCTTTGTCAGCATGAAAAAGGCAAAACTGAGGCTCTATGAATGGAATTTCTAGAACTTTCTGGCTGATGTGACTGCTATATTTAAAAACAAAACAAAACACTTGATAGAAGGAATAGAGAGACCCCTTCTAAAAAAGTTAAGGGAAGTCATAGGAGGACATTTACCCTACACGTGACGGGGCCCTGTGTAGCTGGCAGACGTATTAAAGAAGCTGCTTTGAGAAAAAACATACAGTCTAGATCAGCGGTTCTTAACTGAGCATCTGTGAACCCTTGCAGGGGGGCCATAGGCCCCCACAGCTAAAACTCAGAGCCCGAGCCCCAGCACTTCCCGTGGGGCTGAAGCCAGGAGCTGCGTGTGGGGTTGAAGCTCCAATCCCTGGTATCCCCTGCAGGGCTGAAGCTGGGAGCAGCGGGGCTGAATCCTGGAGCCCCGAGCCCCAGTGCTCCCCATGGGGCAGAAGCCCTGAGCCTCTGGGCAGAGTTGGGGGACACAGGGGCTGTTGCTTCCCCCCCCCCCCACCACCCAAACTATAGTCCTGAGGCAGCTCCACACTGCGCCCCCCCCACCTCCTTCTCTCCTGGCGCACAGCCCCTAGCTACCCTGCACCCTGAACTACCTCCCTGCCCCCACACAGCCCCTAGCTACCCCTTTCCCTGCACCCTGAGCTACCCCCCTGCCCCCACACAGCCCCTAGCTACCCCTTTCCCTGCACTCTGAGCTACCCCTCTGCCTACACACAGCCCCTAGCTATCCCTCTCTCTATAGCCTGAGCTTTTTTCAAACTTTTTGAGGTGAACCACCCACCTTTTGAGTTATAATTTTTGGTTCCCCCCCCCCCAACAGGTGGGTGGCCTGCTGAGATGAGTCAGGGAGAAGAAGGGGCGCTCCCTTCACAGATCATGTTGTGCAGAGCTAGCTCAAGTCCCGCTGGCCCCTACCCACCCAAAATAGAAGTCAAGCTATGCCTATGTCCCCCTGGCCCCCTACTGGGCCCTAGAGTTCTTATAGCATGTTGTGGGGGGCCTCAGAAAGAAAAAGGTTGAGAACCCCTGGTCTAGATAAAGATTCCTTCTGAAAAGTCCCAGTGCAGTGGATATACTCATTAGTGTACTTTTAAAGTCAAAGTGAGAGACTGTTGTAAAAACTTCAATATGTAGCACACACTGTTTCAATTTCAGCTAGATTACAGTATAGTTTATAGGTGGACTCTTATCAGTAAACAAAGGATAGAAATTCTCTGAATATCACTTCTCTAGGCACTTCCTTTCATGTCAGTCAGTGAAAGGCTAGATTTTGCCACTAAGTAAGCGTCTCTTTAGATATTTAAAAACTGAGTGTTCTTTGTGTAGAATCACACTATATAGAGTCAAAATACCTATTGATATAGGATCAAGGTGCCTACAGTTGCTAATCTGGTATAAGCACAGGTCATTTGCTGTGAGGTTTAACCTGATTTGGTGGGAAGGGTCAAAATTTCCTAAGGAAGAGTCATGCCATTATTTGGTAGACAGCTAGTAGCTAGGCCTACCCATGTTTGCACATGGTCTTATAGAAAACTGAATGCACAGTGGCTGCCTTTCATTTGCCTAAATTAAGATCTGGAGTTTGCTTAGGACAAGACCTGGAACTTTTCACAATTCCTAGAGGGAAGGATATAAAGCTGTTGGAGTCTTCCAGTTCTAAGACTGATGGAAGCTAGCAACCTCAGTGTAGCTCTGGTCTCTCTCAGTAACTGGAATCTTAAATAGATACTATGATTGAATTATTGCCAGGTAGAGGAATTTTACATACAGTGGGAGAAATGCTATATCTTGGCACATATTCTACCAACAAGTCTTAGAGATGGACTTCACAGAGCTGGTCCAGAAAAAAATATTTCTGCCAAATCTGAATAAGTAACAGCATATTTATGAAGTGTGAGACTACAGTGACTTATAATATACTCCCCGTTCTCTTGAAATAGTCAACTGTTGTGGCTGAGTCAAAGGTGAAGGTAAACAGAGTTTAGCAGTTAGGCTAGAGTTGAGGGACAACTTAGTTTTTTTAATACATCCATGGCAGTAGATAAGGCTCAAACTAATATACCACTCTCTTGCAAAGTTTCTTTGTTAAACTACTTGGAGTGGACACAGGCAACAAGGCAGTGCTGGAAGAATGCATTTTAAGCCTGCGACTGACTTTCATGTGTCTTAATGATTCCGGGCTGCGGACGTTTAGGAAGCCTTTCTCGTGATCTCCAACTCGGAGGAGCTTGTTCCCCAGGAGGAATGGAGAGACAGACCCTGGACACGTTACGGGACGAAGCTCCCTCCCTTTCCTATAAAAGCTAGACTTCTCTGAGGAAGATGCATTGCATGAGCAAAGCCGCTTCGCTGACAGCGGGTGAGACGAGCCTACTGCCATTCTGCGCGATCCTTCCTGCCGGCCCCACTTCTCCCTGCACAGGGACCCGCCGTTGGCCCTCCTCCGGGCTGGCTCCCGCGTCCCGAGCAGGTGCCACCTCGATGGCAGCGGGGACATTTGAAGAAGATTGTCGCTCACCTGCCTGCTCCCAACTGAGCTAAGAAGGGCGGAGAGGATGCTCCCGCCGCAGTGCAATGGGCACGAGCCTCCGCTCCCCGCAGTCTGCAGACAGCCAAGGCAGGGCCGCTGCGTTAGTGCGGAGTCCTGCCTTCTGCACAGGGGCAACGAACAGCTGTGCACGGCTCCTCTGCCGCGACTGCAATGTTAGCAAAGGGAATGCTGGGACCTGTCCCGGGCTGCCGGAGCCTGTCGAGAGGAACCGGGCACAGCATTAGCTTCTTGGTGCAACCAGCAGCCGTGCCACTCCCCTGTCTCCTCCCCAGCCGCAGGTGTCTGTTTCCCGGCCTGCCCTAGCCCCCTCCCGCGCCGCGGGCTCCGCCGCTTGCTCTGTGTTGCTGCTGTGAGTGGCAGCCCGCCACTTCCTGTCTGAGGCTGGCGGCGGAAGGATCGCGTGTGCTGTGCTGGAGGAAGCGCTCCCCCGCCGCCGCGTTGTGTTGTGGGGGTGACCCGCGCTGGGCTGGCTGGCGGGCCGCTCGGTGTGCGGAAGGATCCGCGCCGTGTGGCCGCCCCGCGCTGGGGCTGCGTGTGTCCTAGCCCGCCCGCTCTGCGCTCCCTGCGAGTCAATGTGAAGCAGTTCCAGTACCATAAACATGGCGACTTCTCTGCATGAGGGGCCCACGAACCAGCTCGACCTGCTCATCCGAGCCGGTAGGTGCCCCGCACAAGTTTCCTCTCCGCCTAGGGGGTGCGCGCTGGAGGCTGCGGGAGCAGCTTCGCACCCTTTGGGCCGGGGGCGGCTACAGCGCTGAAGCAATGGAGGACAAATCAGGAAGTGATCACCTTGGGTAGCAACCTGGTTGGCATAGGGTGGGCAGCAGGTCGGCGGGCACCTGTCCCTGCGCAAGGGAGCCTCCGCCTCCGGGGAAGTTGTGTCGGGGCCGGCAGCGGAGTTTTGTGGGGTTTGTGCTGCTGGGAAT